TTCAAAATAAAGAAAAATGGAAAATAGAGAAATCTCGTCAACAATTTATCACACAGGATTTTTTTCAGACTGGCGACCTGCTACCGGTTCAATGGGTTAGAACCCTTTTATTGAACAAAGAAACCCTACTTTCCCTTTCGTTTTCAACTTCGAGATTTCAGTCTTCCATACGCCTCCCTTTTTCAACCACAAAAGAGTAATCTCTTCCATACGAAACAAAGTAAGTTTTTCGATTTCTCTATTTTTCTTCTTTTCTGTTTTACTGATGAATATGTTACTTCTTCATTATATTAGTCTACCCTAATTTCGCCCCCCTCAAATTGCAGCTGCTTCAAACATCATGACTGTTTGGGTGGTATTTGTTGGTCGTCGACCTGGGATCTACAACACATGGGGGGAAGCGAAGACCCAAGTCAAAGGTTTTCCTAATAATTGCCACAAGTCTTATGACAAAAGGGAAGATGCTGAGAACGATTTGCGAGCATTTTGCACTGGTAGGCCTTCACCCACGGTAATTTCTCTCTTTTTTTTAATTTATATATTATTCGTCTTCGCCTTTATTATCTTTTACAGAAAATTTTCTAGAGAGGGAAAGTATATGCTGTTTTTGCCGTAAGCCTGGAATTTACAGTTCCTGGCAGAAGCAAAGAAACAGGTCGACGGGTTCCCAAACAACTCTTTCAGGGCTTTTAAAACAAGAGATGATGCGGAGAAGGCTGTTGCAGAGTTTGCTTCCTCTAGCAATCAAGTCGTTCAGAATGAAAATGAAAATTTTTTGAATGTTCAACTGGAGATTCAATTGAAGCTATCAAATTTAAAACTTTGATAGCATTGTTTTTTGTTCTCTTATTTAATATGTCTGGATATTTTATGTACTGATTAATAATATCTGTTTTTTGTTACCATTAGCCTCATGTCCGTATTTATTATTTTATTTGAATTACATCAATTATTATAGTTTATTATCAATTGACAAATTTTCTCACATGTTTCCCCTTAATGTACTATGTGGTTTTACATTGAGTATGAGTTTAGTAGTGAAATTTTCAACAGTCCACAAAAGATATAGAAGCCTTTCAAAAGTAGTTCTTTGCTGGTAATATTTTTCTAATTCTAGTACTGGTGTTTTAGCAACGTTATGATTTTAACGGTTCGCTATCAATACCTTTTGCTTCAACTCTAACTTAATTTTGTGCTTTCCTTTCTGGACTCTCCCATCAATGAATCACGTTCGCTCTCCTGGTCATCATGCTGGTGTAAAATAGTCCGTGGGTTTCTGCCTTCACAGTAATGCTGCCATTGTTGCATGTGCGCCTCAGGTTGCAGGAGCTAAGGTCTTAATTATTGATTGGGTAATGACATTAATTCCCAAGATTACTACCACTGCGTCAAATTTTTATGACAAAACTATAAATATTTTGTGTATACTGTCTATTGTGTGTGCACATTATATTCTCAATCAGCAGATCCTTATCTTCCATGTTACTTGCAGGATGTACACCATGGAAATGGCACCCTAGGAATATTTGAGAAAAACAAATCGGTAAGCTTACAACAATATGCCTAGTTTTTTTTGTTTTATTGATGTCTATTGATGACAATTTATACCATTTACATGATACATGTTGAGCCAGATCCAAGATTGTAATTATACTTATGACACATTTATAGCTATATTCTCAATCAGCAGATCTTTATCTTCCATGTTACTTGCAGGATGTACACCATGGAAATGGCACCCAAGAAATATTTGAGAAAAACAAATGGGTAAGCTTACAGCGATATGCCTAATTTATTTTTTTATTATTAATTTTTTTTTTTATGTTTATTGATGACAATTTATACCATTTACATAATATATGTTAAGCCAGATCTAAGATTTTAAATATGCTCATGACACATTTATAAGTTAAACACTTCTTTTTTATTTTATTCTATGATACACTTTAACCATTTATCACTCTTTAAAACTGCTTCATTTGGCATGCGGGGTGAAATTTATTCTCTGCTATATGCAAGAACATCATCAACACAAATTCAATTAGTCTCACTGCACTCTCTTTTTTCCTTCTTTCTTTTTAATTCCTACAGTCACCACTGATTGTGGGATGGTCCAATTATCTGTGTCTGCTACTGTTAATCAGAATTATCGAAATTCTAATGCCATCTCACAGTTATCAATTAGAGAAATCATTGGCATTTGGAAATCCAGATGCTACTTTCTTTACATTAGGCTCCATCACCATTCTTCATGAAATCATCACAGTGGGCCGTCTTAACAAGAGATACGCTCCATTTCAAAATTAAAAAATATTTCATATAGCAATTATGCAGTCATCTTTTATCTTGTAATTTTTTTCAACCTCTCTGGTTTTGGATTATCCGGAAGCAATGCAGCCCAATGGTACTCTCTATATATATATATGTTCTAATTTTGTCAATCTTTATGTTTTGGGACAATCTACAAAAAGAATTTAACGTAATGTGCAGCGTATCTAAGCTTCTGTTTCCACTAAATGTGCTTTGCTGTACATTTGAAGAAGTGCTGTTTAAATCTCTTCCTATTAGCCTCATGTCCGTATTTATTATTTTATTTGAATTACATCAGTATTATTGTAGCTTATTATCAACTGACAAATTTTTCCACATGCTTCCCCTTAATGTACTATGTGGTTTTCTATTGAGTGTGAGTTTAATAGTGTAATTTTCGACAGTCCACAAAAGACAGAGAAGCCTTTCAAAAGTAGTTCTTTGCTGGTACTATTTTTCTAATTCTAGTACTGGTGTTTTGCTTGTGAAGGTTGAAATGAAGTCTCATCTCCATCCAGAAAGGTCAGATCGTCTTTGAGCCATTGTGGCTAGTCTTGATACTGCAGGTTCGAGTCATACTTTCTTCTGGAAATGAAACACTTAACTAGTCTGGTTTAAAAGAGAAAAATGAATGCACACCTGCTGAAGTTCATATCCATTTCTTAATTATTTTGACAAGTTATTGACAAGAAACTGGCACTTGCTTGGTTGTTTTCTGGAAAATGAAACACTTAACCAGTCTGGTTTAAAAGAGAAAAATGAATGCACACCTGCTGAAATTCATATACCATTTCTTAATTATTTTGACAACTTATTGACAAGAAGCTGGCACTTGCATGGTTGTTTTAATAATACTTGTTGTTATATATCGTGGAAGGTGTTTTCCTGTATTGGCAAGAGAAATTAAATGAGAAGAAATCCAGATGGTAAGATACAGGGACGAAAGTTTAAATCATGCCTTATCATAAAAGATAGCTTACTATAGCAGCTTTATGATTTTAACGGTTCGCTATCGATACCTTTTGCTTCAACTCTAACTTCATTTTGTGCTTTCCTTTCTGGAGAAGAGCTTGAAAGAATTTCTACAAAATCATCTTGTAACCTAGATGAGAGATCAATGAACTGAGGTATGTCGATTTCATAGTTGTTCCATTTGAGGCATATTTGTTTGTTCAGGTTAGCTTTGTTTAATTTTTCCTCCTTTGCTGCACATTTGAAGAAGTGCTGTTTAAATCTCTTCCTAACTCAAATTTTCCTTCTATAGTTTGTGGTCTAGCTCCATGCCTGCAACTCCCTTCCTTCCCCTCACTTATTCCTATTGGGATTTGCACTCGATAACTAAAAAAATAATCCAGTGCTAGTTGTTCTTTGCTTTGTTCATGGTTGACAGTGAAATCTTTGCTGCCCCGTTTTTATCTTTGCCTCACTGGAGGTGGTGATATTTTCTTCACATCCGGCGTTTATTCAGAAAAGCAGAAGAGAAAGAGAAGACAAGCAGCCATGCTTCGTTCAGAATTGAAATGTAGAGCTTTTAAATATTATATAGTTTTTCTGGTGACATTACATTGTAGTTAAAGTAGTATAGCTTTTCTTCAGTATTATGATTGCTTGCGATGAATAACTGCACTCAAAATCCTTTCATAATCCTAAAACTCATTGGTTCATTTCCCTCTATCTGAATCACCAATCTCAACCTTTAAGGAAAAGTCAAACTAATATTGCACACAACCCATCTCAACTCAAGCGAAAGCATTGAAATATATTACACAACCCGTTTCAATTCAAGTGGAAGAACAAGTAATTGACATAAACCCATCTATTCTGATCATAAATTTGTTCAAATGAAATGTTTAACCAATTCCATGCATCAAACCAAAAAATCATTTCTTCTTCCAACCTTTTGACACAGCAGTTTGTTAAATATCACATATCTTTGGTGTGCTAATAGTATTATTTTGTGACATTTCATAAATTACATAATGTTTTAAGATAATTTACTCAAATATGATGTCATATATAGATTAGGAAATAGAAAAATGTTACGGAGACGTTTAATAGGAATCAATTGCTTTGTTTGAATCCAAAAATGTGAGCTGCAACAATTGTCTTGAAATAAATATTTTAAGAACATAATGAGTCCAAGTATTCGTGAACTATACACTTCGCAACTCGAAAATATTCGAGCCACGCCATAATGTCCCCTCCAGCTGTTGCATCATGTCTTCTTTGGAACTCCACTCGTCGTCAAACAATGACTCGATGTCACAATCTGTTTTCGAACCGGAGAAGACCACTGAGTCGTCTGACATCTCCTTGGGCAACGCCAACTTGAATTAACGATGACTCTAAGGATGTGGAATACCATTCGCAAGCAATAATGGCTACAACATACTGGAGGCATAGGAAGGTGTTTGTATACTATAAGCAGCTTGGATCCTCTCAACAATTGTATCCACTTGCATTTGATATTTATAGAGTGTTGAATGTACTTGTGATGGCATTTTCGAAATTAATGTGTCAATTTTTCAAAATCAGTTTTCATTACTAACAGGAGAAAATTCATTGCAGATTGCAGGGAATATATTCTCTACCAATTAGAAAGTTGTCTATCCATTTGTGCTGCACAATCACATGCAAAATAAAATGTAATAATACAATATGGTACATATAATAGTAAAAGTACAAATCACTTCAAGGCAACAGGTTCATATGTGGCACAGAAAGTTTTTAACTTCTAGAGTCAGTTACAGCTAAATCTCATGAGGAAAATGCCAAAAAAATGGTGCACAAAAAAAAACATGAATAGGAAAGTGCACGACAACATAAGATGAACGCCAAGCAATCACCCCTTTCGCTCACGCGACATATTGTCTCGCTCGAAGCAATACTTTTCAAACTTGAAGCACAAAATTAGTGTCTTCGCGACACAGTACGAATTTTGATTATCTTTGTAGCAAAGGAACCACATGGCAAACATGTGGAGCACATCACCCTCATTCATGTAACCTGACGAGAGCAGTTCGTCAACATACTCGTCGATCGACATTCCTCCATTACTATGTGATCTCGCAATGGAGGCCAAATCTGTTCCGACGCTAACCATCTGCTCAAGTGATGTCGACATGTCTTGGGCACTGCACCATTTCTTATTTCCTCTATCCCTCCATTGTTTGCCTTTCCGTTTGTCACCACTTTGCCTCCCGGATATGTTCATCGAAGAGTTTTCTCTGTCTTCGTTTGAACTGCCACTGTAATCGATTCCCTCTGCGTTGATTGGCAACTTATCACTGACGTCTTCTCAATCACTGTTTGTGCTCAGATCGAAGCCACGTTGCGACAGCTTCGTTGGGGACAGTACATATTTCGTCGCATCTCCGATGTCCTCGAACAGCTTTCCATAAGTGTCATAAATCTCGCTACAATCAATGTGCTTGTATTTCGCATACTTTGGATTCTCCTGTTTCCAAATGAAAATGAAAATATAACGAATAATGAAACGCGATATTAGAATGGAAAATAGGATACGAATAAACGAACGCATGAACTAGAAGAAAACACTCAAATGCATGCAGTTAATGGCAATTTGATAATGCATTAACAGGAGCAAATGAACCTCCGTGTTGATCTAGATCATGTAGACGAACTAGTGTCACATACTAACCATCACAGTACGAAATTAACATTATTAAGAAATTATATTTGTATATCAATCATGCTTACACACAACTTCAATGAGACAGAGACTGCATGGTAGTACATGGAAGTTATAATGGAAATAATGCATCTTGATTTTGGCGTCCCACCAATGCTCCGGAGCGACGATTATACTGGTGCCCGAGCGGTACTCAATTCCTGTGCATCACAGTAGCTCGAACAGGTGCTTGTGCTACTCCGTAGTTTACTCCAGTAGTTCTTCATCTCAAATACAATCCAGTTCTTTCCAACTTTCTTGTAGAAAATTTCTGCGATACGCAGCCATCCTTTTGTGGAGAAGCATTTGCCTTGTCGGTGGCCTTTTGCGATCACGGTTTCACATGTTGAAATGAAGACCTTGCACTCTGAGGAGTTCCATTTGGCTGACTTTCACACTGCTGGTTGTAGGTCTTGCTAGTCGGATGCAGCACAGTGCATCGAGTGGGCACTGGCACTTGTGCTGAGTTGCAGGGAAAAAATTGTAATTTGTAAAATAGTGAAGGTGTAACAGAAGTAAATTAACATGCTACATTAAAGAGGCAGGGGGAAACAAGGTAATTGTCAAGTATTTTGGGCTCCTATCTTGAAAGCTTTTTAAGAGATTTCCACATTTTTTTGTTAGTTTAGGATCTGGTGAAAGGGCAAAAGGGGTATAGCATGATCCTTGGTTCAATTGCGTTTTGCTATATCACGTAGAAGCATAATCAAGGCAGACAACAAATAGGAAATATAAAAATTGAAAAATGTGCTTCACTAAATTGCAGACGAAATACGCACTTGTTGTGTAACATAAACTAACTCATCAATTTTGTGTAAACACAGAGATTAAGCAATTTGTAATAAATGTGAATGAATAGGAAAAGAAAGTTTCGAAATTAGCTGCCCTTCAAACATTCATTTTCGGGTCACATGTTCAACACCTACAATTTATTATTAGTGAAGAAGGGAAAAGAAGCCAATTGCAATTTCATTGACATGCGACGTTGCCCCAAAAAAAACACTACATTCTTAAAATATGAAAACAGTTTACTCATGAATTGGAGACAAAATATAATGAGAAAAGTATCAAAAACTTGTGAGTATATTCTAGTTCATAATTTTACTTATTTAATAAACGCCCAGTAACTTTTTCATTAAGCTGCAGATGAACTTTTCCAAGGAGAAGTGTATAATGGTTACCAGGCTTTTAGGGAAACAATTCCACTGCTGGCCGAAGTTATCTATTGTGGGGAGCGGATTTGTGATGGAAGTTCGATGTTTGGAAGGTGCTGAAACTAACCCGGGGTCGAACCTTGCTGTACGACGAGCTATGGCAATTCCGGTGGTTAGATGGAAGAGCAATTACCCAGTGGTTGTTGAAGAGCCCAGTTACCGCCGGTAGGAGCCTGGAGTAGACGTTGGTAAGGTGCTTCATTGGATGTTGGCCGAAGATGGTAGGCGGAGAGATCTAGGTACAAGGAAAACGAACCGCACCGATCTCGTATTGGGCTACCTCACCTTCAGCCGGCGAATACTGGACGACGAATCTTAGGTGGTCGAGACAATGTGGCTTGAAAATCTCGCCGACAGGGAGATCCAGTTATAGGAGAAGCAAGGGGTGTCGTTCGAGTCGATTGGGAAATCAGAAGGTAGGGCTGGAAATTCTAAGGGAAATCTGAGGGCAACAATTGCTAAACAAAGGCAAAAATGGGAGAACACAACTCGGGTGCTGAAACTAACCCGGGGTCGAACCTTGCTGTACGACGAGCTATGGCAATTCCGGTGGTTAGATGGAAGAGCAATTACCCATTGGTTGTTGAAGAGCCCAGTTACCGCCGGTAGGAGCCTGGAGTAGACGTTGGTAAGGTGCTTCAATGGATGTTGGCCGAAGATGGTAGGCGGAGAGATCTAGGTACAAGGAAAACGAACCGCACCGATCTCGTATTGGGCTACCTCACCTTCAGCCGGCGAATACTGGACGACGAATCTTAGGTGGTCGAGACAATGTGGCTTGAAAATCTCGCCGACAGGGAGATCCAGTTATAGGAGAAGCAAGGGGTGTCGTTCGAGTCGATTGGGAAATCAGAAGGTAGGGCTGGAAATTCTAAGGGAAATCTGAGGGCAACAATTGCTAAACAAGGGCAAAAATGGAAGAACACAACTCAACGACATTGTTCCCAAATTCGCAATCTGACAGAGAATTTTGGTGCTAGGCCTGTGCTGTCTTGTCAACTTTGTACAAAAATGAGTTTTGGTTCAAAAAAGCTAATTAAATTGAGCACCAAACAGGGGTTATGTACTCATAAGTGAACATGATGTAAGTTTCTTTAAATGCACTTGTCAATTCAATAGCCAATCCAGACAACAACCCAAGCCAACGTGAGAATCGGGCTACATTGCCCAATAATAATGGTTTGTACAAACTTGAACTATTGCTTGACCCAACTTACGTACACTTTATAATATTGTTGTGTGCCTATGTCAATATTTGATAGGCTAATTTTTTATTTTATTTTATTTTTTGTTTACATGTAACAATTCCCGCCTTTAGAGGTGGCTAATGAAAAATTACCATTGCCATATCTCCTGGGATTAAAAGTTTGTTTAAGTCGATAAAAATAAACTCTCTCGAAGATTTAGAATATGAAAATGTTTCTTATTCAATTGCACCAGGCACACATATTTATACAAGACTCTTAACGTATAACATGAAAACACAAAAATTGAACTCTTTGTGGGTACCAGTGTTCGGGCAAGCTTTTGTTCCTTGATCTGTTGGGACACATTTCGCGATTTACCTCCCTCACGATGTTCTAGGAACAGGGCGGTGGGGGCTCTCAAGGTTGGGGTTTAACATTTATTTATTTATCTATTATTATTATTATTAAATTTTTTTTTTAAAACACAAAGATTCTAGAGAACTACTCACCAGTTAAATATGATAAAATTCTTTTGCCACAACTGTACTCTCACTTTATTGCTTTCAAGCATTGACTAAGGTAGAGATTGTGTCTATTTATTTTAACAATCAACGTGATCTGTGTGGCTTGGTGCAAATTAATATTTTATATTCTTAATTGCATGCTTTTTTCCACACCTACTAATTTGAATTGCTTTTCCTTTCTCAGACAAGTGATCTAATTATTTAGACACAGACCAATACGATATGAGGTCGGTGAGAAGGTGAAATTTTCATGGAAAAATTTCATAAATAGGCCCTCAGAGTTGTTAAAAAACTCAATCTTTAGTTCCCACTAACATAATTAAAGTTAGCAACTAGCAGAAATTCACGACTGGAAGTAAGCCATAGTCGAATTGAGTCTTTTAGACTTGTTGAGGTGATTGTTGATTATTAAACCTACTCCACTGGGCAATGGAAGACTTCTCGTCGTGCAGATGTCCTAATCTGAGATTTATGCAGTATTAAAATAGAAAATAAACAAAGAACTTATGAGGTTCAGCCCGCGCATCAATGTCTAATGGACAATTAATTTTTCTAAATTTGGCGTACTCTTTAATAGTGATCCACGCTAATCGCGCAGAAGTTTTCCCAGTGAGATTATTTTCTCAACTAAATTAAGAAGTAACATAGAGCGTTTTCTTGATAGTTGATACATCATCATCATCACAAGAATACATTTAGTTCTGGAAGAAAGATCAAAGGATCAACCAATTCTTGGCGGATTGGATTGATAATCCATGGTTATAAAACGATCCTGTGGAACTGCCTGAATCTGACACCATCCATCTCTTTCTTCATATTTCTTTCTACTTCCTTTGCGGTCAACCCTACAACCCCAGCCCGTGATATTTTCCCAGGTAAATGTCCTGGGAAGTGGGAAACCTTAGAAACACCAAAAACTTCTAATGATTTACTTGCGTAAATTCAATGTAATTCAATGCATAAAATTAAGACAGGTTGAAAACACTAGTTTTTATTTTCTGGACTCGGATAAAAAGTAAGGTCAAGAAATAATTCTTTTAATTCATAGTTATGGTACTCTTAATCATTTGATTTTTTTGAACCAGGTTGTGATTCTCATGTTCAATAACGAATACAAAAATATATCGATTTATTTATTTTCTTAGTGAGATCAAGCTCTTGAACGGCTTAAAAGAAGCTCACCATCTCACAAGAATAAAGCTCTTTGACAGATTTCTTTTTCAATTTTAGAGGACCAACTGTCCAACTTTATCCAATTCCCTGCTAAATCCGACGTTCACGGGTATGAATGATTGCTTTCAGTCACTTCCGTTTTGCGAGATTACCTAATCCATGTTCCTACATTGATGTGTATGTTTCAGGTTTAATAGAAATCTAGAACGTTGAATGTGACAAGTCACTTAGGCAATATTATATCGGAAAATTCTGCTCAAACAGGGGCTGTCAGTCAGCTCCTGATTTGTCCAAGGCCCCTGTCAGTGTAGTGCCTCCCTATTATATCAGGGGAGATGCTAGATCCGTCCAGGGAGCTGAAATGGCGCCCTCCCCTATTTGGACAGGGCCTACAGATTTATCCTTACATCAAACAAATTATTGCTTCTGTATCCAATTCATTGACAACACGTCGAATATGCAGTATTACACCATGTCCTACAAGTATTAACCATGTCAATTGCTCCCTGCAAAGCAAGTCATTCAAGTTCAAACATTTTAGGGTGAGTTATCAAATCTAGCCCTCTTTTGGTGTCAATTAAAATCTATAAGCACCCGTTTGGGTCCCACTATTTCACATTATAATGAGAGGAATATTAATTTTTTTTTTGGAGAATGTGTGGTTATAAAATAAGAAAAAAATTTAGATTTACGTATAATATTATACACACTTCGTCCCATTTATATAGATTGATTTTATTTTTCACATGGATTAAGAAAGTCGTATTTAATGTTATTAAAAAAGTAATTTTTTTCTAAATATTTTTTTAATTACCCTTATTTGTATTTGTACCATTTCGAGATTAAGTGAGAGAAATTGGTTATCACTATGCAAATTAAATAACGATATATTAGTAAAAAAAAAAAAAAAAACAAAACGTTCTCTATAACAAAAAAAAAAAAAAAAAAAATAAAAAAAAAAAAAAAAAAAACAAAACGTTCTCTATAACAAAAAAAAAACAAAAAAAATTATATTATTGGGACATAAAAATGGGATGAAAAGTATTATTGAAGAATGTGTGGTTAATAACAAGAGAGAAAAAATGAATTATAATTTAAAGAGAGAGAAAAATAAATTTTAATCTAAGTCAAAGTCAAAATTTATTTCAACCACATTTTATGAGTCTCAAAACTTTTTAACCACACTTCATTAAGTTCTATCAAAATCTATTAAAAATCTAATTTAAATTTATTTTTTCTTTTTACTATTCAAAAATTTAATTCTCACCAAGAAACAGAACCACCAAACTGTGTGGTATTTAACACATACAACCAAAGTAAATGAACCGTACCATGTTGACAGATGAGCAATAAATACAACATTAAATTAGAGTAGTGGTTATTACATCCTAGCATAGACATTGCAAACCCTTTGCTCCAAGATTCAGCCATGGTCCCTCTCAAAGTTGCAGCACTGATTTTTTACATTCTAAGCAGTTTTCTTACAACCTCAAAATCTGTCGATGAATTCTCCTACAATGGATTTCGATCAGCAAATCTGAGCCTCGATGGCATGGCAAAGATCGCGCCCAACGGTCTCTTGAAACTAAACAATGCCACCATACTAGAGAAAGGTCATGCCTTTTTTCCTGATCCTATTGAATTCAAGAATTCCACTAATGCCTCGGCTTCTTCCTTTTCTGCATACTTTGTTTTTGCAATGGTGTCTGGCTATCAAGAAATGGGCGGTCAGGGAATTATTTTCGTGCTTTCGCCAAGCAAAAACTTTGAAAGAGCCAATCCAGCATTATACTTTGGCCTTTTCAATAAAACCAACAGTGGCAATTCTTCCAACCATATATTTGGAGTGGAACTTGATACAATCAAGAATGTCGAAGTTGACGATATCGATGATAACCATGTTGGGATTGATATTAATGGACTGAAATCCGTATCTTCAAAGACATCAGGGTATTGGGATAATCCGGATTTGTTTCGTAACTTGAAACTTAACAGTGGTCATCCGATGCAACTTTGGGTTGAATATGATGGTATAGAGAAGCAAATCTCTGTTACATTAGCTCCACTGCATAATTCCAAGCCTAATAGAACTCTTCTGCAGATATCATATGATTTATCATCTGTCTTAAAACCAACCATGTTTGTTGGCTTTTCCTCAGCCACAGGGCCTATACAAATAGCTACCCATTATGTTCTTGGATGGAGTTTCAAGATAAATGGTATGGCTCAACCACTTGATCTCTCTCGACTTCCTAAACTACCTCGTATAGGTCCCAAGAAGATATCGAAGGTTTTGACGGTGTATGTGCCGGTGATTACTACGGTTTCAGTATCACTAGCCATATGGGGAGTAGTTTGTTATGTCAATAGGCGGAGGAAATTTGCAGAAGTGCTTGAAGAGTGGGAGCGTGATTACTCTCCTCAGAGGTTCAAATTCAAAGATTTGTATAAGGCCACTAAAGGGTTTAAAGATAAGGAGATATTGGGCAGGGGAGGATTTGGAAAAGTATACAAAGGTGTGATGCCTAGATCTAAAGTTGAGATTGCTGTTAAGAGGGTATCTCATGAATCAAGACAAGGGATGAGAGAATTTGTGGCAGAAA